TTAATCAGCTAAAGATGCAAAATAGTTTGAAAAACCGCTCAGAAACTTTTAATATTTTTCTAAAGATTAAACAATGATTGAACTGCAATTATTATGAAGCAACAGGCTATTATAAGATATAGGCTCCGAAATGCTTATGGGATTAACTTTTCAGATCTGTTACAGAGAATGGTAAGGATTCTTAGGTCAGTTGGATCAGTGAAATATGGAAATTCATTCAGAAGCCATCTCTAAGATGAGAAATGCTTTCCTGGAAGACTTTCTAAGATTTTGAAACGGAATTGGCTTTTTTTGCCAATACATTCGGTGGAAAACACGCAAACTATTATATACCGTCATTTTGTTCATCAGCTAAAACGAACTACAAGAGTTTAATGTACTGAATGTACTATGAGAAATAATACCTTAAGACCCTCCTTAATTTGAAGACTTTCTGACTGAAGTTATGAATGCTGTTCTAAAATGATAATCTTAATTTATTTATGCTTTGTATGTTACATTAAATAGTGCATTGATAGATTAAATAGTGCTCTGCTAAAATAATATTACGGATTCATAAAGTTCGTTTGATAGATTTATTTCGTTGGTTTTAAACTAAAATTTATTACAATCCACGTTTGGAAGTTAAATGAGCTTTTGAAATACTAGATAAAAATCAGATGGAATTAATTCACCTTCGGACAGTATTTTAAATACTTTTGCTAATATTTTAGTAGCAACTAAATTATAAAGTTTATTGTCGAATTTTAGTCTTATTTACTTAGGGTATCTTAATTCAGAAGTCAAACAACAAAAATCAGCGTTAATTTACAAAATTTTCACAGGACTAGTTTCGATGGTTTTACCGAACCATTATCTTCAGCTGCAAAACCGCAAATGAACAAGATAGGAAATGAATTATTATTGTTATTGTGTCTTAATTATTGTGTCTTAATTAGGGTATCTTATTAATTTATTTCCTTTGTATTGCTAAATATCTATTATATCTTTGCATTTAAAATTTCATAAAATTATTTAAATGGGGTTAGGAAATTTTGATAAAGTAATAACTGTTTGAAAAACAAGAAATATTTAAAGTAATGAAAATGATTTGATTTTGTGGAACGTGTATCTGCAGCTTATCTTCGAACTGAATGTGATTTGAATATAAGGTTTTGAAGATTTCATTTGTCCAGACTATTCTATCAGTGAAAAAGAATTTTACGTCACTTCCGCTCAAAACATAAAGCGTAGTTTTATTTTATATCGTCTGAAACTCCACGATCTGGCCGAAAAGTATCACGTGATTTTTAGCCACGGAAGAAAATATTCCAAAAACGGCGGCGATGGAGATTCCTGTTGCCAGATAAGGTGCATGCGGAAATGGAAGAGATATTTTATTTCTCTCTGACTCCACCCCCCACGGCCTTCCTTTTAGCCTGATAGCGCACATGCTGATCCGAGAAACGTGTTTTCGAGCAAAAAAAAATATGCCCAGAAACAGAAATATAAAATACAATCTTTTCGTTTCTCTCTCTCTTTTTTTTAAAATTGTTTCAGCATATAGCAGCCTTATTTATCTAAATTTCGCGAAGTAACTACAGTAGTATAGCCTTAAAAAAGGATACGTGAATTTTAATATTATTGTTTTATTTTTCACATACACACCAAAAGGAGTATTGTAATTTTATAAAAACGTGAAATGTCACTGATGTTTAGGTTAAATACAAATACGATTCAACAGTTTTCGAAGGTAATATCGACAACATAAAACAGAGCAGTAGGATTTTATAGTAATTAATAAATACGTGGCGTAATTTAAAACTTCTATTAGTGAAGATACACACTTCTCTATGAAAACAGACCTGTTTGAATATTTCTAAAAAATGCTCAATTACAGTTTAAAATGAGCACTCGGAAAATAATACTTCTCTCGCCTTTTCCAAGCATACAACTTAATTCATAAAATATCAAAAATGTGCAACTAAATAAAATAATAGACATATTAAATATTTAAAAATTCATTAAGAATTTAAGTGAAATAATGAATAAGCATAATAAAATTTAAAAATTCAGTTATCTACTAAGCTTAATTTTTCCGCATGAACAGCTTTTGAATTAAAAAAGTAGAAGAAAAAAAGAAATTAAAATCTGAAAGGTTTCAGATTTTAAATTACGTCCAAAGGGACAGGTTTTTTTTTAACATTTTGTCTGTTATTTTTATTTATTAAATATCACGTTCTTCGCACTTAAACCATAAAATTCACTTCAAGAGCAATATCGCAAATAGTTTTAAATTGAGCATATCTTTAGAATTTCCGATACAGAGACTCGCGCTGGAGGGTTTTTTTTTTTTTTTTTTTTTTTTTTTTTTTGTTTTTTTTTTGTAAACGTGCCTTGTCGCTTGAAATCTTGAGTTGTTAATCAAAAAATGCGTTAAAGATTTACAAAATATGAAATCAATAATAAAACAAATTCCAAATTTGGGCTTCCATATGCCCATATTCGCTGTAGATTTACGTCATTCAAAATTCGATGGCTCTATGTACCTTTGTTTTATCACAGTGCGAGAAATATATATACATTTATGCAGATTTTTTATTATTTCATTTCTTCAAATACAATACAGGACTCTAACATATGGTGGCAACAGTTTGAAAAGTGAAACGAACATTTATAGTGAACCAATGCAAAATCGCAAAACGAAAACAATGGTCCTTCAAGGACAAAGCCCCTTTTTTGGACTAATAACAAAACAATTTCACTCAGTTTATAGAACGAGAATTTTAAAAAACTGAAAAATACGTTTGCTATATTATTTGATTTTAGTAGAGATAACTAACGATGTTATTTTTTTTATAATCTTATTTATTATGATCCTGAATTTTAATTCGTTTTGAATACATAATACTTTTTTATGATAATTTTTTTTCTTCCTATAAGAATGTTATTAAATATTTAATACCATTGCAAAGGTCGATTTTCCTTTCATTCTAATCATCTTATCAGTAAGTAATTATTTCTTATATTTATTTATATATTTAATACCAAATAAAATGCTTAAAAAGTTCTTACTTTACGTACAAAGTAACAGTTATGTCTGAATAAAGCGCTGTAACCACCATAAGTTTCGCTATTTTATACTTTTTACGACGATGTTCCGTAAGTTCTGTATGGTACAGAAATAAAAAAGTTTAACTCGTTAACTTTATTCACTCATTATCTTCGGTTTAAAAAAAAAATTCCCGAACTAAATTTCTTCCATATTGAGGCGCGTTATCATCTATTAAAAGAAAGTCAAGTCAAAATATACTTTTAAAAAGCCTTAAATATGGTTCTAGATATATTTTTACAAGATGCAGGATGCTGTGTTGAACAAGTGCAGGGAAAAGTGATCCCAGTAATCTTCATTCCGCCCTTTTAAAATAACATCTGGATCTTGTAGTCACATTCGGGAAATATAAAATATTCCTTTTACCAAATACTCTAACTTAACCAAGGCTCAATTTAACATATGATTCTAAACTTGATTATATATCGAAGGTTCCAGGAACATGAAATATTCCTATCTTCGTTAGGATGTTAAACTGAGCCTCGGTTATGTTAGCTTATTTAATTATGGCAAAAAAATACTAAAGCTATTTGGCTAAAGAGAAGAGATACTTTCGTGAAAGACTTATCAAGAGAAAGTGACTCGTATTAACGCTACGCATGGGAAAAACAACGAAAACCAACCACGTAACCAATCTGCTCTCCTGAGTTCGAACCCGCATCGAGCTATCAGTATTCAACGGTCTTTCCAGTGACGTGGACTTAGATCCATTATTGTGGAACTGCAGTTCTAAGGTTTTCAGCTTCCAGTTCAGGTGGGTTTCTGCCCCCCCTTCCTTTGTTATAAACTCAGCGAAACACAAATCATTGGTTATTTAGCATAAAGGCACATCTCATACACACTTTTTCGCGATTTAAATATTCTAGTAGCGGCTATAAATTCAGCTATCTGTCAGCCACGTTCTTTTTGAGATCGGCTGTGTCGGACGGAACCTGATTTTGAGAAGAGCTTGTTTAGTTTATACGATCTTGTCTCGGCATCCCGGCAAAAATTTGACAGTCTTTGAATTGTTTCCAGAAAACCAGAAACTATCTGTTTTGAAAATTTAATTATCTTGTCACTTCCATAATTGTTTGCCTTGCTATGAACAGCCGAGAGCTCTTCACTTCAAAGACTCTCTAAGATGATACCTCAAAATCACAGCTCATTCTTTTGACATGATTAGTACGAAGATAATCCCCTGAGCTGCAACAGGAAACGTATTTTATAAAGAACACTTGCCACACCATTTTATGATAGGATAAGGTATATTCTCCCTGCTTTTCACATGCCTTCGTGGTGTAACTGGAAGCACTCCCAAAGCGTATTCGGGATAAAACCTTATAAGCTGTTTCTCCCGTCTTCTTAGCATGCCTTTGTGGTGTAATGGCCAGCACACTCGACGCGTGTTCGAGAGATCCGAAGTTCGAGTCCCGGAGAGGGCACTGCTCATTTTTCATGTCTTCTGCTTCAAAATAATCTAATGTCTCTACAATAGCATTTATTTATCTGCATTTCAGAAACAGATTGATCAAATAATGTGAGATAATGTAGAGGTTAGTATTTACATAAGTAAATGCGATCAGTTGGTCACATTCATGAAATATCATTAATTTGGTGCACGTAAAAATAATATAGGACACCAATGTATTTCCGGAACAGGAAAATACATTTTTAAAAATATAAAAACAAAATGAGACATACTGTTAACAAACTTCCGATCATCAGGGAGATTAAAATAGTATGAAAAATGTAAAATTAAAGAAACGTTTTATATTATTATTTATTTACGAAATAGTTTTACGTAAATGTTTATGCTAAACTGAAGTTGCTTAGATGTCTAATTTTACATATTAGACTGGCATGTCTCTATATCATGAAGTCATAAATGCAGCTATCATAATGTTAATCAGATCTTTTCATTTTGCAGACGAATGTTTCCAACTCTGAGAATATCCTTCACCGGCATCGATACAAGCGTGTCTTCTGCTAAGTACGCTGTTCTATTGGACATAGTACCAGTAGACCAAAAGCGATATCGATATGCTTATCACAGATCTTCGTGGCTGGTAGCTGGTAAAGCAGACCCACCTTCGCCTGCCCGACTTTATACTCACCCGGACTCACCGTTTAGTGCAGACCAGTTACGGAAACAAGTGGTCTCCTTCGAAAAGGTCAAGTTGACAAATAACGAGATGGACAAACAAGGACATGTAAGCAGTTATAGCTTTCAGTATTTTCTGAAGATTTTCATACAAAGATTATACATATTCTCTTTTATCTACCAAAATGGTATCATTCTGATTTAATTTAAAACTTCGAAATGCAAATAAACGTTAATAAACATGCATAGTGTTTTTACAGGTATGTATTGCGTTTGTTTTAAAAGAATAGTGTAAAGAAATACATGGTTATTTTAAATAATGCATTGGGTTCCACAAAGGTGTATTTCGTATACAAAGGTGTATAGCAAATATAGAAATGGGTACTACGTGAAATGAAGTAAAAATCTTTCACAGTTTAATCCTAAGTATAAACCTATTAATATATTCTACAACAAAAGGGTTTTTAAGTTTTACAACGCCCTACGGACGTAAAATTAAGGAATTATGATGCGAAATGATAAAGACATGAAGCTCTTCAAAATAATTATGTTCATATAAAATAATCTTTAATGCATATGCTTAGGAAACATACAGATTTATTAAGAACACAAAGGTTCATAAGATTTGACCTAAATTTTGGGGCGAAAAAGGAAAAAAAAAAAGTTTTAGAGTCTAGTTTACTTTAGTAACATAAATTACGAGAACGCTAGCTAAGTCTTAAGCGACTTGTCGCTGTGTATTGGAAATTACTAGAATTTGAAGGGTTTAAAGGACCCTTTCATTTAACTCAGATTAGTTAACACAAGGCACGTCTTGTGCTTGTAGAATCAGCCAGCATTTGCGGCGTAAATAAAAAATGAAGATAAATTTAATACTAAGTTAATCGTAAGTTAGTTAAAAGGCTACACAGACTGAACACGCGCAAGTTGGCTCAAAATACTAATGCCGGCGTGATAAGCCTAACGGCGAGATTAGTGCAACGCCGCAGATAAACTGTTCTCAAGAGAATCATGTAACAGCCGTAACTTTCAACAGGCGGAACACGCTCTGATTCTACCACCTAAAAACCTTTCTTTAAATGTTATCTCTTTTCTCCCTCATTTGAATACGAGCGAATTAGAAATTAGCATTCTGGCAGGAAAATGGAAAACGGCAAAAACAGCAAAGCTAACTAATATAAAATAACTACTCTACACGTTATAAAAATGAATAAAAGTTACGCATTTAACAATTATACTTCGAATTAATATTCTCCACGTTTCTTCCTTTAGATTGTCCTGAATTCCATGCACAAATATCAACCTCGAATCCATCTTGTCCGTCTAAGACAAGATAGTCACAACTCTCCCATCATCTCCGACTTGGAGCAAGAAAGATTCCGGACATATATTTTCCCGGAAACTGTTTTCACAGCTGTTACGGCTTACCAGAATCAACTGGTAAGGAAATAACCTTCTTATTTCCCCTTTATCATTCCGTTCCATGCAAAATTAGTATCGGAATACCATATGCAAAATTAATGTTAAGCCATAATCGCTAATTCAAATTGTTTCTGTCCTCAGAAGTTCATTTTACAATGTAGTCAACAGTTATGGTATCCTAAATTAACTTTGCATGTCGTTCTGCAGCTTAACTGAATGCAACAAGTGAAATCTAGAACCTCTTATGCATAACGTTTTACTTTGCTGATTTAAGAAGACCCAGCTATTGACTACGATATAAAATGGACGTAGAGGACAATGAATGATTTGAATTGGCAAGTGTTTACCGTCAATTTGTGCCTTATATATAATAAGGAAATTCTGTATTTTCGTTAAAAATATATTAAAAAACAATAATTTCTAATTACCATTGTTCTTATTCTATTTCACAAAAAAGGGTTAATTAAGATTTATTATCTTTCTTTCACAAAAATAATGTAAACGTAAAAATTACCTATCATGTTCATAACTGTTGCCAGTTTATAAAAAAGTTATGAACTGCATAAGAATTACGTATGGAAAAAACATTATAACTAAAACTTTACAGCGCTATATGGATTTTAAAGATACATTTAAAAAATCAGAATAATTTTTCTGTCTGTAAACTCATTTATGTTGACGTCCGAAATGCCTACGTTTGGGTCTTCCTATTTTTTGTACCATGTTACTTATGTCTTTGTTCAATCAATTGTACAACGGTTTCGCAAAATAAAACACGTTTAGCTTCCACGCTCCAGCATGCAGCCGTTCAATAAAGCCTAACATACTTTCAAATTTAATTTGTAATGTTACTGAGTAATAAAATAAGCGATTTAAAAGCAATAAACGCAGTTCTTAATATTTTTTTAATTTTTAGTGTGACTGATTTAAATATAGATATATTAAAACCATGTCTAACTAGAAATATTCAATATTTTTAGGAAATTACACTAGCTGCGGTCCCGTTAAAATCATTATATACTTTTTTCTTTTTTATGATGGCTAGTTTTAAAAAAAGTAATCAAGGGATATGCAAAAATATGTATGGTATATGGGGAATTCTGAAATTACTTTGTTTTTAAATATTTTGTGATTTCGTTCTTGAATTTTATGTGGAGTAAGTGCGAAGAGTGTGATATTTAAAAATAATGTTAACATATTAATCGGGAGTTCTAAACATATGCTGCTATGCAGCTTTTAAAACGTTTGTGGTTTTGTTGTTGAACTTATGTGACGTAAGTGTAAAGAGCTTAAGAGAGCTAAGATGCTAAAAGAAGAAAAATTAAAACAAAAAAATTAAAAAAAAAAAAAAAAAAAAAGGTAGCAGGAGTGAGTGCAAGAGCAGAATGCTAGACTGCGAGCTTAGTGAGGGCCTAAGAAACTTTAGCATACCTTTTTGGGTGACCGTTAAAATCTGTAACCTTTCAGATTTTTTCGTTATTATTATTATTCAATTTCGTTTAGTCTTATCGCTAAGTCTCAGAACGCATTTTTAATTTTAAATTTGGATTTATTCTTTACTATTTAATTCTCCCATCATCGTTTCCATGTAATTCATTCCTTTTTCCAGTCATTTCCATGTAATTTCATGCAATTCCAGCGAGTTTCATGCGTTCGCTTATTTGTTACATAATTACTAATAATTATATAAAAACCGAAATGACAGGAAATTGTCTTATTGCATAGGAATGCATAGAGCATTTTATATATACCCCCTGAATATTATAACATGTAAAAAGTATAGTATCCTATTTAAGTGGAAAATTGAAGCAACATAGGAAGATAAAAGTTATTTGATATTTATGGCATTGATGCTAAGGCTGATTTGGATTAACTTTAGACACTATATTTTACCGTACATAACAGTAAATAATCTAAAAACCTCAAAGAATAGAAACACGCCAAAGTAAAATATAAAATTAGCAAAGCAACAACTTTGTTAATTCAGAAGTCAAACAACAAAAATCAGCGTTATACCTTAAGGATCTTAAGTTTTACTAACGTTTATTTTATTTTAAATCTTTACTATCACTTCTTATTTTCTACTTCCGGGCCAGAATTATAAGCGTGAAGGAGTTTATGCAAAATTTGTCTGGCGAACGCCAAGTATTTAAGTGTGGCCTTTTGCCAAGCAGAAGAGAGAGGAAGCCGTGAGTTCGAAGCAGGCCGCTTACCTTAGAAGTTTTACGCAGTTGCTACTTTGCCTTCCAGGCCAGAGGTTTTAATCCTCTTGATAAATTAAAAGTATTGTAGTGTTCACAGTTCTCTGTACTACATACGCTTTCGGTTAATATAAGGCCAATCTTATTCTAAAGTTAAATTAGAGTTTAGTTTTATTTTTGATATCTTTTAAGTTAGACCCGAGTGGAGGGTCATTGTATTCCGAAGTACGGAAGTCATTGTATAAAAGAAAAAAATAAAGGGTTTTTGTATACCCTTCTTGTGTATCCTGTCTACTTCCACAGTTATTGAACATAGCTTTAGTAAGCTCTCTGTTCCGAGTCAGGTCATTGTATGTTCCGAAGAAGAAAGTTAGAAGAAGAAACATTGAACCTGATAGTGGCGCCCCGACGAAGAATAACCATGGCCGAGTTTCAAGAAGAACCTGTGCTGCCTGCAGAAACAGCTCAGAATCCAGAAATGCCAGCTGCCGCCCTGGAAGGATTTGGGTATATCGTCCAGACCATGCGCGCTTCGATGAAAACCAGAAGCAACGTTTTAATGGAAACTCACCGGTAACCAGTTTTTTGGAAAAATTGGATGACCACTTCTTCATGCTCTACCCCGTGCACGAGTTTCAAAAAGTTACCTTAGCTACCAGCGCTTTGAGGGGCCAAGCGCTTAAACTGGTTCAAATGTATCGGCAGAAGTCTCTTGGGTCAAGCAGGAAGTCCCACCTATACCTACGAAAATTTCAAGACTGCCCTACTAAAAGCCTTCCCTGTTGTAAGGGATCGTGCGAAATTAGAAACGGAACTTTTCAGTATATATCAACAAAGAATCGAAAACCTCTCAAGCTTTATTTTAAGAAAAATTCACGTTTTCAAGCTCTTGTATGGAAACCGTCCGGATCCTGAAATAATTCAAGTGATTTTGCCGAGGTTTACTACCCCAAGTGCAAGACTTTATTGAATTGAGAAATCCGACTACACTGGAAAAAGTTATTTGAGCTAGCAATCCAGTTTGAAAGTAGAAGAACGGCGGACGTCGAAAGAAGACGCCAATATCAACAGCGAAACCAATTTGGTACGCCAAGACTACAGCAAAACTCAAGCACACGGCTACGGAGAAGCAAAGCGAATCAGTGGGCAAGGAAACCCGAGCATTCAAAAACAGCCGGCGAACGTCGACAGTTCAATAGCAACCCAGGAAAAAAGTCTCAAGGCCAGTGGAAGAAGAAAGGAAAGCAACGGAAAGAAAAAAATAATTTAAACTAAAAACGGATTTCTGCTGACGGGAGGGTGCGGAAATCCGAAGGCCACGAAAAACCCCTCTTCCTACAAGTTAAATACAGTAATGGTGAAAAAATTTGACTCTTCCGAAGATTGAAGTCTTGGTAAATAATATCCCAGCCACCGCACTCCTGGATACCGGCGCGCAGTGTTCCTGTGTGGCAGAAGATTTTTTTAGGAAGTATTTTCGCAAATATCGCATATATAATGCGGATAATACGACAGTGTTAGCGGCGCAAGGAGAACAATGTAAGTGCGTAGGTAAAGTACCTTGTACATCCGTATCAAGGACGAACAAGTAAAGGTGATGTTTTTTATAGTAAAGAATCTGCAAGCACACTTAATTAGGGAATAGATTTTCTTTCAGACGCACAAGCTACGCTGGATTTTAATGAAGCGTCTCTTAAGCTGACAATGAAACCAGTTCGTGTAGAAAAGGCTGAACCGCCAAGTTAAAATCTTCGACCACCTGCCTAATGACGAGCAAGATAGAATCCGACAAGTGGTAAGTGAATTTGCTTCCGTTATTTAGTGATATTCCAGGATTTACTCAGGTTACTAACCATAGTATTGACACCGGAGATGCAATGCCAGTTCGTCAAAAAACCATACCGGTATGATAAGAATAAGGAAAAAATTATAGAATGGCATATTACCGATATGCTACGTAAAAAGATCGTAACGCCCATCTCAAGTAGTTATGCTAGCCCGGTGGTTTTATGTAAGAAAAATAATGACTATCCTTTGGAGCATCCAAAAAGGTGGAGATTCGCAATTGATTACGTAAATAAACTCCATAACTAAATATCCGGTATATCCGTTACCGATTATTGAAGAAGAAATTTTAAGGAACATAAAATCAACCAAATTTATGACGACTTTAGACTTAACGAATGGTTATTTTCAAATAGGGATAGGCCTGAGGACGTGCCTAAGACTGCTTTATAACCAAGTCTGGCACTTATGCATTTTTTGCGTATGCCGTTTGGCCTTTCAGGGGCCCCGGCAAAACATTTCAGCGATGCATGGACATGTGTTAAGACTGTTCTGGAAAGTCCACATTTATCTATTTAGACGATATCATTATTACTAGTGATAATCTCGACCAACATGTACAGGATTTAAGACAGGTGTTTTCTTTATTAAATGAGGCCGGTTCTAAAAGTTAATGTCGAAAAGTGCAAATTTGCAGCCCTGAATTAAAATATTTAGGTTACAAAATATCTCAAAAAGGGAATCGAGACAGACGAATCAAAAAATAATCGCTGTACAAAAGTATCCGACTCCAAACCACGGCAAGAAGCTCTCTTCTTTTCTAGGACTTTGTTCATATTATAGGTCCTTTATAAAAGATTTTGCGGCTATGCTGAGCCATTGTTAAAATTAAAAAGGAAAAAGGCAAGATTTCTCGTGGACGGCCGAAGCCAATAGTGCTTTCGAAAAATTAAAACAAGCATTAACGCAAGCCCCTGTGTTGAAATTTCCTGAAAAGGATGAAGAATTTAGAAATTTCAGCGGATGCTTCGG